ATGGTCCTATCTATGGCTATGGTCCTATCTATTGCTATGGTCCTATCTATGGCTATGGTCCTATCTATTGCTATGGTCCTATCTATGGCTATGGTCCTATCTATTGCTATGGTCCTATCTATGGCTATGGTCCTATCTATGGCTATGGTCCTATCTATGGCCATGGTCCTATCTAAGGCTATGGTCCTATCTAAGGCCATGGTCCTATCTATGGCCATGGTCCTATCTAAGGCTATGGTCCTATCTATTGCTATGGTCCTATCTATTGCTATGGTCCTATCTATTGCTATGGTCCTATCTATTGCTATGGTCCTATCTATTGTTATGGTCCTATCTATGTCTATGGCCCTATCTATGTCTATGGCCCTATCCTTGTCTATGGCCCTATCCTTGTCTATGGTCCTATCTATGTCTATGGTCCTATCTATGTCTATGGTCCTATCTATGTCTATGGTCCGATCCATGTCTATGGCCCGATCCATGTCTATGGCCCGATCCATGTCTATGGTCCGATCTCTGGCTATGGTCCGATCTCAGGCTATGGTCCGATCTCAGGCTATGGTCCGATCTCAGGCTATGGTCCGATCTCAGGCTATGGTCCGATCTCAGGCTATGGTCCGATCTCAGGCTATGGTCCGATCTCAGGCTATGGTCCGATCTCAGGCTATGGTCCGATCTCAGGCTATGGTCCGATCTCAGGCTATGGTCCGATCTCAGGCTATGGTCCGATCTCAGGCTATGGTCCGATCTCAGGCTATGGTCCGATCTCAGGCTATGGTCCGATCTCAGGCTATGGTCCGATCTCAGGCTATGGTCCGATCTCAGGCTATGGTCCGATCTCAGGCTATGGTCCGATCTAAGGCTATGGTCCGATCTAAGGCTATGGCTCTATCTATGTCTATGGTCCCCTCTGCACCGTACCTGGTACTCCACCGTCCCGTTCTCATGCAGTGTGATGGTTGCTGAGCCCACCGCTCCGGTCTTGGTTGGGTTCAGAGCATCACCGCCAGAGAGCACACTCTGGAGAGCTGCAGAAACAGAAGAGAGGGGATTATCCGATCAGTTCCGCCAATGACATCATCACAGAATATTTTATGACATCACAAGGCTCCAGTGCAGTCCAGTGTAGAACCGAAGCCCAAACGTTTTGTTTAGTTTTGTATAGAGTAAGGAAGTGAAAGAAAATCCTTCCAAAGAGAGGGAAATCCCTGGTGGTCCCCAGAAATAATGTTTTGGGGACCACTGGGGTGCTCCTCACATTTGGTAAGTGCATTGCTCGGCGGGGTGGTCAGTGGGCAGCAAGAGGTAAGACCGGATAGAGAATGCACACGTGTCCGGTCGACGGCGCTCCATGGAGTCACAATCATCCTCTCCATTTACTCCTACCCCCTCATATCCATTGACATGTCTGTATATCTCCAGTGTTCAGTTTAGCATCTCACTCAGCCACTATGGCCCTATGCATCACACATCTTACTCCCGGCACAGAATGGCAGCACCAGCCCTTTCCCCACAGCATAACTATAATCTCTAAATTACTTAAAGGAGAACTATGAGGGGGGAGGGGCTTTTCACTCACCTCATAGTTCTAGCCGACCTGTGACAATGAGACTGTCACAGGTCGGCTCAGTAGATCGGGAGGTGAGAGAACACATACCGGCGTTCGCTTACCTCTCGATCCTGTCACAGCTCTCTGCCGTGACAGGGGGAGGGGCTGGATTCCCCCCTCCCCGCTCCGATCCACCAGCGCTGACTGGCGGAATGGACGGGGGAGGGGGTGGGTACAGCTGGCTCTGCCTCTAGATAGGCAGAGCCAGCTGTCACTCACGCAGCTGGGCGGATCCCGTCGTCTAAGTCGGGATCCACTCCGGCGTCTCAGTATACTCGCGGTATACTGAGCTTAGGGTAACGGGAAGACGCTAGTTTGTGTCCTCCCGTTACCCTAAGGAGAACTATGGGGGAAAACACTGACCCCATAGTTCGCCTTTAAAGTGTATCAAAATGTATACATTGCAGATTACCAGTCCATAGATGTGGTGGCTGCATTTGTTTTCATTCTGGCTGTTTTAGTTTATTTTCACCTGCAGATCCTGCCACTTCCTGTCCTAGGGTGACAACGCTCACTTGCTGTACTGTATCTATGGAGGGACAACGTTGCCACCCTAAGTAAGACAGGACTGCAGAACACTTCTCCATCTTCATAACACAGGAAGGAGGTGTCCTGTAGTCCTCCGAATGCACTGGTTACAGTTAAAATGCAGTGTAGCTAGAGTGAACAGAAGTTATCAGCTCACAAGGTTTCTGGCAGGATCAACAGGCAATGTTTTGCACCTATTAGGGTCTGTTCACACCAGATGTGTTGGTGCTGCCCCAATGCACATCTTGCTTCAAATAAGCTCAGTTCATTCCACCTTGTAGAACTTCTTTTCAGCATAGTGTCATGTGACGCAGCACAGCCGCAGAGCACCATGATGTGCCGATAGAACTTTATGGAATGACACTTATGGCATTTCATTAAAGTTCTAACAAAAAAAAAAAAGGTACACATCACAAAGCGCACATCAGCGCTGTACCTGTCATCACGCACCCATGCACTGGTGCTAGCTGGTATGACTGGACCCTTACTGGTACATTCAAAAGCCCAAAAAGCAACAAATAAGAGAAGTTCATTGACGGTGTTTACATGCACTTTAAGCCCTGCTGAGTCAGCCACCTCTGCTCACCTCTACCATTTGGCACGGCGGAGTGTTTTTGTCTTTTACTTACTGTCACATGACTTCCTGACTGCGATTAAGCCAGATATGCGCGGTGTGCGGTCGCCGTCCATTTGCACTGCGATCTCCAGCTGCCCCTGGGCGAGCCACAGCATCTCCCGGCTGGAGAGATTGGGAAAAACCTCGGCAAAGTCCGTCTCCTGGGGGTGAGTGATGGAAAAAGGGAAGAGATGGAGATGTGGCCGAGATCGGGGAGAAGAATGGAGATCATAGAGAACCTGAAACTCGGGATGTGCAAAATCCGGCGTCTCATACCTGGACGGTGATGTTGGCGCAGAGTGCTCGGATGACGCGGTGGTGATGTAAGATTTGCACGGTGACCAGAATCTGTTCTGCAAAAGGAAACAAACATCGTGTTACAAAAAGACCTTTCCCCCTTCTTCCTGAATCGTCTTTCAACATTATCCGGCTCCACAAAAAAACATTCCTTCTATTGTTTTTGCTGCTTCATCTGGCTGGGTTTGAGCTTTGTTACAGCTGACGTTTAAATGGCAAGTCCAATTTCACCAGGTGAATCTGAGAACATGGAACGACCCCTCCAATCTGGCCCCCACTCCCCCCCTTTCTGCTCAGGTGACCGCGCTGACCAATGAGTGCTCGCCATTCCTGAGCGAAATTCAAAATCCAGAGCATAGGGTAGTTCCACAACAGCTGAAGTGCCAAGAATGCCTACCCCTGGTATAATCAGAGGAGGTACAGTATCACTGATCCTCGCTGTACCTGCAGAGCATCTCTCCGATTTCCGTAGTGTAATGAATAGTCTGCAAGATTCTATCCCCATGATCCCGGGATCCTTACCTTGCTCCTCCTCTTGTATGCCTCTGAGCATGAGGATAAAATGAAGGTCGTCATCCCCAGTGCTGAGCGTCAGCATGGCTAGACCACGTTCCCTGCTCCCTTCTTCATCCGGCGTTAGAAGAGCGCTAAAAGATTCTGTTGGAGGTAACACAAATAAATATTGTGAATTTTCCCGTCTTGTCTTTGGTACACTGCAGGCAAAAGAAGAAGGACCCCCTTACATTGGTGGTCAGTGCAGAAGAGCCCCTTTACATTGGTGGTCAGTGGAGAAGGTCTCCCTTACATTGGTGCTCAGTGCAGAAGGACCCCCTTACATTGGTGCTCAGTGGAGAAGGACCCCCTTACATTGGTGCTCAGTGCAGAAGGACCCCCTTAAATTGGTGGTCAGTGGAGAAGAGCCCCTTACATTGGTGTTCAGTACAGAAGGACCCCCGTACATTGGTGCTCAGTACAGAAGGATCCTCTTACATTGGTGCTCAGTGGAGAAGGACTCCCTTACATTGATGCTCAGTACAGAAGGACCCCCTTACATTGATGCTCAGTACAGAAGGACCACTTATATTAGTGCTTAGAGGAGAAGGACTCCCTTACATTGGTGCTCAGGGCAGAAGGACCCACTTAAATTGGTGCTCAGTGGAGAAGGACTCCCTTACATTGATGCTCAGTACAGATGGACCCCCTTACATTGGTGCTCAGTGGAGAAGGACTCCCTTACATTGATGCTCAGTACAGAAGGACCCCCTTACATTGGTGGTCAGTGGAGAAGCCCCCCTTACATTGGTGCTCAGTGGAGAAGTACTCCTTTACATTGGTGCTCAGTGGACAAGCCCCCCTTACATTGGTGCTCAGTGGACAAGCCCCCCTTAAATTGGTGCTCAGTGGAGAAGGACTCCCTTACATTGATGCTCAGTACAGATGGACCCCCTTACATTGGTGCTCAGTGGACAAGCCCCCCTTACATTGGTGCTCAGTGGAGAAGTACTCCTTTACATTGGTGCTCAGTGGACAAGCCCCCCTTACATTGGTGCTCAGTGGAGAAGTACTCCTTTACATTGGTGCTCACAGAGACTCTACCTGAGAATAAAGCTTTGTGACGGAGAATCTTGCCAGAGATTTCAGGTTCAAGAAGTGTCTCCATTACCAAAGAAACAAGAATGTGTCCCTGACGAAGAAGGTGGAGGGAGGAGCGAGGAACGGAGCGCCATAGTCCGCAGATCTACAGAACAGAATTTTGGACAGTTGAGGGGAGCAGAAAGGACAGAAAACGGAAACACAAGACGATGGTGTTATCCACATGACTTACCGTGTCACTGTGCCGGAGCCTCACTCTGTGCACAGGGTGCTCAAACAGCACCGAGCCGCCAATGTCTGTGAACCGAACCCGGGTAAAGCTGTGTGTCCTGAGGAACGTTTAGAACATGAAATGGAGTAAATAGTCACCACATAAAGCATGAACCCTGACTTAAAGGGTCAGTCCACACTAAAGTAATATTTTATGTATGGATGGGGTCTGGTGAGCTGAGTCAGCCCCTAACTTCTAATATGTCTTGGACCCTCCAACAGTGAGATCTCCCTGTCATAATTCCCGGTTCTGCTTCTGTCCACCTGCAAATTCTGAGAGTTTCTGCCCTTTGTGTGCTCCTGCCCCACAATGGACTTTCCCCACCCACCTTTGTGTGCTCCTGCCCCACAATGGACTTTCCCCACCCACCTTTGTGTGCTCCTGCCCCACAATGGACTTTCCCCACCCCCCTTTGTGTGCTCCTGCCCCACAATGGACTTTCCCCACCCACCTTTGTGTGCT